AATTGCTTACATACATGTACATAAGGTAAATCATGGTTCAATCAATGCAAATATTCAACACTTATAATAAAGCATAATGCATTTCAAGTCTCTTTCTACGGTGATTCTCCAAAGTAGTCCCTGCAAAATGGACTTTGTTTTCCAGCACATATGTTGCAAAATGACAGATAAAAACCATCTTCCTTTAGCATGTGAAATGAATCAATTAAAAATACTACTATCTATCAGTTTACTGACTTCCTGTCCACAGACAACTGATTAGTAAACCAACGGATCTGTATAAATGGTGAGACCTCAGGTAGACAACATGTATCAGACCGGGGGGCACACACCACTTCAAGATTCAATCGAAGTACATACATGTATCTGGTACATAAAGTAAAGATACATTTCCATGTATGTTCCATTCTGATCACAGCCTGTAATCATGAGGAACTATTGCTTATTGCACATCACCTTGGTACCGGAGTAAATCTTAAAAAGAAACTTTGAATATCTGTAGAAGTAGGTGTATTTTGTTTGTTCAACCTGCATGCTTACTGGATAACACAACAAGAATAATAATAATACAATGTACTGCTGTGCTAATCAAAGATGATTTTGGGTTAATATGTTCAACATTCAGGCCTTAAGTAACTAGAAAAATAAACTTTATACCGGTATATGTTTGAAAAACAGCAAGAAGTAGAATATCAGACTGATACCCTTCATGAACTGAACACAAGCTCAACTCAATTTCAGTTTAAAGCTATTTTGTTATTTTTCTTCCATTTTCCTCCATTTTCTACAGTAGACTGGAATCTATTTTGACAAGACGAGGACAAAATGAAACAGGAACTACGTGTATAAATGGCAACGCTGATGTACATGTCCATGTACTTAGCCAACTTCAAATGATTCAAATGCAGTTTCTAAACATACTGAACAGCTTTGTGCTCTGGTTTCCCTCTACTCTTACATTCTGCTTCTTTCTACTCCTGATGGGAATTGAATTTGTTCCCTTGGAAAAGAAGGTTTCACTGATTCCAACAGATCACATTTCTGACACACAGCTTGGGCATCAAAGAATTCCCACACAATGAGCATTGAGTCTTTAAGGGGATCCATTTTAACTTACTAGGGGAACATGGGTATTGTAAGCTGGCCAATCTGTCAGTAACAGACAGTAAAGAATGTAGGCCAGCTTGGCACTCAGTGTATCAATCAGGGTTCTGATGATTATCACACACATGCTCAGAACACTCCACTTCACACAAGAATTGCAGCAGTTTTTCTGGCGGAGATGTCATCCATTCAAGATATACCAATCAACAAGGATGCTTACACCATGCTTGAAATCTTTCGTAATTCTAATGGCAACGATTTTGGCATGTTGCCTATTTTAGTTTTTGATCAGCGTGAATGTACAAACATCGCACACGGCACAAGGGCACGAGGACAGAGTAATACTTTGATTGGTTGTTCATCAGTGTTATGTTTTTAAGTGAATAAAAATGGCTCCAAATTTTGTAGCAAAAATGTTTAATAATGAGTGGAGTGTTTGTACCAGTTGTGATTTTGGGGGAACACAGATGCATTTGAAAATGCTTTCCCCACCGTATATATGATCAACGGATAGATGTATGCAACTGTCACAATTTTTTCCACAAAAATAATGGTAATCCAAATGACCTGTTCAAGTCTGGCCATCAAACTCCCCTTGAAGATTGGGCAATATGCTTGATTATATCTGAATGCTCCAGGCATAGAATATAAAATCAACGAATGCATGTGGCTTTATCCTATCATCACCATAGGCTTTCTTTGCTAATCAATCAGATAAGAGTAAACCTGTCCCTGCTCAGTGACAGACCGAGTCTAATCTTCAGAATGCTGGGACCGAGACATGATGGTCCTGATGAAACAAAACAAATTCATTTCTAAATAATAATGGAGAGATCTTGAGGAGATCTTGTCGTAAGATTTAAGGACACGGAAGGTTGATTTCTGTCATTCTACCATGCAACAATACAAATGATGCATAATTCATGAATAAACTCTATTTGTCAACAGCCATTTGTCCCATGAAAGCACTCAGTAACTTTTTTCCTGACATGTGAGCATGGTGCATCATGTGGATCAGGTTTGTCAAATCCTATTTCTTGAATGGAAATTATACATCAGATCTCTCTGGCTTTCCTGTCTCAACTCCAACAGAATTTCCTTGTTCTCTCAAAAGACTCTCAGCTGCATTTGTAGTTTTATAGAGGTTAAGATTCATCTCTTAGGGTCCTTAGCTCATACAATAAATATTAAAATACTTCACTCATTCTTGCTTTGATTTTTATCTCTTCCTGTTGTTCTGGCATTTTTATTCCACTTCACTGGGGCTACAAAGAAGACAAAGAGTTTGAAGCAGCACACAGTTCTTGCGTCAAATTTCTCTGCAGTTCTGAAAAGGTATTGTTTCAGGAGACCTCTACCCTAAGTTTTATTTATACCTTGTTGCAAGAAGTCCATGGACCAGAAATGCCTTTCCCCATTCCTCTCTAGTGAAAGGGACGCTATCATACATCAGGATGTCTTTGTCTGTTATGGCGACGAAGACTGGTTTCCATGCCGACCCGCCTGAGTCCGTATTTGTCTGTGAAGTGTACAGGAAAGTGTGAACCTTCACTAATTCAATAAGATTAACTTCTATTTATCAAAGTCCACTTTGAAAAGTTAAAGTTCAAAATGTGGGATAATTCAGAAAAGTTCCTGAAACAGATATCCATGAATATCAGGGTTGAAAGCGGAAAGAAATTATTGTACACCACTCACTGCACATTCACACATCCTAGCTTCGCTTTATTTAGATCAGAAACCATGAAAACTAGCCCAATCTACAGCTTCATATACTTGGTTTTAGGAAATTTTCAAATAATAGAAAAAACTATTCCCTGTCCCTCATGTTTAATGCCTCCCTTACAATCTTAATATCCTGTCCATGGGCCAGTAGATGTTAATGTACAGCAATTAGGATTGTTTTTCACTGTGTCTCATATTTACCAGTTCTTTGACTAGTACCTGCTCACATAACCAACCCATGTGTTTGATCTCACGGCTACCAGGCGTGGCTCTCAGGATGTCATTGGCCTCTGCAATAGCCTGGATGGTTAGCAATGAAACATTAGCCTGTAAGGCGCTGAACCACTCTCCGGCACTGGTGGCATCTTTGCAGCGCAGGATGCAGGAGCTACGACCATCTGGGGAATGTAGCTCAATGGTCCGTCGCTCTGGATCATTGACAGTCAGGTTGGAAGTGACATAGCAGAGTTTGAGCGGGATGGTGCGCATCTCGGTGAAGTTGTTACGAGTAGCTTGTGGGTTGGCACCAGGCTCCTTGATGACATATGGGGAGGGTGTGTCCCACCCCACTTCACCAATGACGGTACTACGACGGAAGTAGGGTGTCACCTCCCTCAAATATTTCACTGCCAAAAACAGTCAAAATAAACATGTTGAAGTAAAAGTACTATTAAATGGTAAAGCACTTCTGCAATCCCTAACTTCACATTGTACATGTACATGTACCACAACTTACATGTATACATGCCTCCTGCCTTGAAAATCAATATTTTTGTGAAATAACAAATTGAAATGCTCTAAAACATTTCAATCTAGTTTATAAATGAACTATCTTCCTTGGGTAGTTAATTTCCATTCAACAGGCAGATAGGCGATTTAGAATAGTGCTGCCCTGTAGGAATGTAACTTTGCCACAGCAAAGGTACAAGTAAGGTACACATGTACAGTACATGTATGGTATATACAATGTAAGTACATGTACATGTTCGGTATATACAATGTATGCATATGTACATGTACAGTATATACAATGTACATGCATGTACATGTTCATGTACCAAACCATAGTAACGTTTTTGACAGCATGTACATGTACCCTGGTGTACCATTACAATATTCATAATTTATCACTTCTAGAGCAGAGTGGCATCCAGTGCAGACAATAGTCATAAATATCCAATACCACACCAGGCGCATTACAATGTACATGCAACATCACACTTTGAAACTAATTTTGCATTTATAGTAACTCCTACTTTTCTATCAGTTATCCTCATCCCTTGTTTCCATGGAATCCTTCTCATGATGGATGGCATAAAGCTGTACATGATGAGGTAATGGGATGACAGAACACCATTTGTTCCATTCAAATTATCTCTGCTGTACTGTATGACTAATTATATTGGCCAAGCTACACAGTCTTTACTTTTATATTCCCAGAATCATGGCTTATGCTGCCCATGGTAGCCAGGCTAGGTTGGAATTCAATAACTCAATCATATTTCAGAAGAGGGCAATACATGTGCATCACCCCCTTTGCATATTACACACAGAGGCACAGTGTTACTGATTGCTTACAGAGACTCAGTAGAAATACACCTGCATGCCAGGTTGATGAGGCTATTTTAAGATCAAATATCATGGAGTGTGTTGTATAATTAAATACTGTACAGTGCCTGCAGGCCCACATGTACCGGTAAGGGAAATGCCATGCAAATGTCAGTTTAATTTTTTTTCCTGGTCTATTTATTCATCCAATCCATACTACCGACACTGTCTGTACTTAAACCCTGCTTACTCTCAGGTCCCTTCTTATAATTGGGAAGAGACAAAAATACTACATTTCAGCAAGCAGAGGAGGGGATACAGCCAGTAGACAGTCGAGGTGTAATATTAAGCAATTGGGTACATTTACAGTTTAGGTCATGTTGACCTCTTCCCACAATGCAGTGCACACTTCCACTGATTTCGTGGTAATGAGCACAACTCAAGACTACTACTGATCCTGTATCTTTCAATAAATTGGACATGTATGTTCTTGATTTAGGAGGAATAATCTGGAATATCACCTGTGGAGTTACATGCAAAGCTTTCTGAAGCCATACGACTTCACTACATTCCTGTTTCTTCAGTGTATCACGATTGATTGATAAAAAGTACGGTCAGGGAGACAGTGGGTTTTTCTTCTTCCTGGGTGTTGATTGATCGATGGAGACTCACGCTTGATTTCCCAACTCCTGACTCACTGCTCTATCTTTTACAATGATCAACAATTATCTTCAATGTCATTCACAAACTTGGTGCTCTGAGGCATCATGGCTTTGGTATTGGTGCCTGAAAGAGTCATTCAAACGTTTGGGTATGAAATGTACGGTATGCACCTCAAGTTTGTATTCGTTGTTTATTGTTTGACGAACTGTTTTACAAGTTTAGGCGTAATAATGCAACTGAACTGATGCATAATGCATACACAGGTAGAAGTAATTTGCACTGCACATACCAGTATTTAGCACAGTACATGTATTTGCTGTGGAAGCTTAACATATGTAGCTATCAATATATGTACATGTAGCACACACAGAGTTTCAGGCTCAATGATGATAATAGCTTTCACAAACAATTCTAAATAATACTGGGCAGTGACACTGAAAGTTGCAGAAACATCAGAATTATCAGATTTAAGAAGACAAGTGAACATTCCCCTGGTTTAAAAAGGATCATATCTGAGAGATCATATCACAAAACCTCAAGTCCAGTGTACAATGATTGGTATTTGACACTGAATGCAATGACAACTCAACTCAGATGAAAATCTCAGTCTCTATAGTCGGACGAGGCTACCTGTAATTACCTCATGATTATCACCTCAGTACTGGCTCCCAGGTGACATTGCCTGTCTTCTTATTTTCTGCTTTGTTTAACATGCCAAACCATTTTTGCACTCTTGATACAGATGAGACCAACCAATTCAAATAGAAAATCTCTAGGCACCTGGGGGCCCAGAAAGAAATCAATTTTTTAAGTCAGTCATGTTTCAGTGAACCCTTAGGGATGAGAGAATGAATTTGGCATAGAATCTCAAAAGATAGCCACATGGCTGATTTATACAAACATGAAGAAAATGGATCAAATAGAACAACCTGCACATTTTGTTCAAGATTTCCGGTCAATGTCTTGAATGTGCTGTACACGTACATGGGTAGTGCTGTGAAGTTGAATGAGGATGATAGTCTCCTATATGTATTATGAGGTCACTCTGTCAGATGTTTACAGAAAGCAGAAAGAGAAAGCCAAAAATTAGTGTGGGCAGAAAACCATATCAAATATTATGAAATTACTAAATGTATAGTGAAATACTGACCAGTATCTATTTACTAAAATTGTTCATTGGAAACCTTTGTTTGTCAAGTGCTATAACAGGATTTTGTACTTATCGGCCGAGTTCGGGCAGCTTGTTCCCGTTTGTTCACCAACAGCTTGATTTGTTATTCGTGGGTCAGCCGCTCGAATGCCGGGAACAAACAACCGGTTATTGCTGACAGTTAGTGACAAGCAACATGCAACATGGCGGCGTCCATGTAAGCTACGTTTTTTGAGAGTTAATGTTTGGATGGGCTTAATTCTTTTCTATACAAACAGGAACATTCATATCTGTGTTACGGAACATAATTAATGTTAATTTTGCAAAACTTCCCATTGTCTATGGCTTTGGAAGCCATCTCTCTACTTTTTGCAGCTGTTCAAAAATCAAAATCTCACGAGTTTTCCGTGTGTTCCTGTAAAACCCTGACGAGGAGGTGGTGTGTGATCCTGTTCCGAGAACAGTGTTCTTGAGTCATGTTCCCGCCGTTCGAGCGCGAGAACAAGAATTCCGTGTCAAGAACAGGCCGCCCGAACTCAACCATCTTTTTCATGTGCATTTTAGCAATTAATACTTGCTCGCTGTTATCTGCTGCAGCATTCTGTTATCCAGGGGAAATTGGCACCATGTGTGACATCGGAAATCTTCTGGGATTTCTAAACCTCTACCCAAGTATGAAATTTTTCAGTCTCCACAGCTTTATGGTCAATTTCTTTCTCTCCAAGTATCAATTAACAACAAAACATTACTGTGAGTGGCTGCAAAGAACCTCTCAGTGTTACCAACTCTCCTCAGTGCACATGAGCGCATGTGATGGAAGCTGAAATTTGAGACATTAGGAATACATTGTCATAGGAATGGGCTATCAAAATATTTTAGATAGAAGGTAACCAATGACCAGTACACATGTACATGTACATGTACATATATGTAATGTTCAAGGAAGCGGATTTAAAAAATATTTCTAATGAAATTTAAGAATTTGTACAATTTCTGAATTTTTTTTTTCAATTTCAACATTCAAAAGTTTTAACCAACTGTGTTACATTATTTAGGGAAAAGTCATTTACAGAAGACCAAAGGTTTGCATTTACCACCGGTGCATGTGACATGTTCCATCCATATAGGTACATGAATATGTACTGGTCGTGCATTCAAGCCCACATAATGCTCCAACTCTGGTGCTGGACAGTGGTTGAATGACATTAACAAGGATCCTTGTTTTCAAATGTACATTAACTGTCGTTTTTGCCAGTTGAAAATGACAGTGATTGACAGTGATTACAGAGCACCCTTGTACAACTGCTTTTGATGGTAGAATTCTTCTCTCTGAGCAGGTAAGCTGGCTTATTCTAGAGGGCTTACCACATGCACTACATTGCATGTATATCCAACAAGAAAAACCACGACCACCGGCCCTGTACATCATGTACATGTAATTTAAATGTGGCAGATTAAGAAGTAGAAAAATTGGGCTAAATACAATGTAGGTGCTTCGAATATACGGTACTGTAATGCACCAAGTTGGCATTTTGCCAAATTTGGGCAAGTTGAGGTCACTGTTCTGAAGCCAACTTGGGGCAATGTCCAGATATAAATATCTTATTTTACTGTATGATAATTTCTGATGAATTTTTCTACATCAAGTCACAATTTGACCAAAAGGCAACACTGAACACTTGTCTAAATGAGATTTACTAGCGGTATTGTAATTGGAGTTATCACATGTAATGTTTCAGCAAGTATTACAACTGTACTGTACATGTAAGCAACTCCGATCTGTTCTAAACATGCAGTACTGTTACCAGGTGAGGCATTGCCTTGCCTTGGGCAAAAAGTTAATTTTCATGGAATTACAAGCACTGATAATGAAGGCAAGACACTGTGAGTTGTAAACATCAGACCAATAGGAATGTAAGCAAATTTAATCTGTTTTCAGCCAGACCCATTCAATCCTTTCAGAGATCACCAATACC